TTTATTACATATTCTGTACCTTATTTTCATGATCAAAGCTGACATCGTTTGATTAAATATCATATTGCAATATCTATTATATCATGCGTTGAATCATGAAAACATTTCAAAAAATTTCGCCTGTATTCTATCCTCAGCGGGGTGGCGATGGCCGGGTAGCCTAACTGATGGATCCGCCACTGCATACTGCTTTTTAGCTCCTATTCTTAGTAAAATTAAGTAAATCAATACTTCTAGAATAAGTAAAAGAAATTGGCAGATCATGCACAATCAGATAAAAACATATAAGATCTACATTATGTCCTACTGTATTTTTCCTTTTCATGAATCTTACATGATCTGCAAAGATCTGACAAGAACCATACAGTCTGTTCATATGAGATTCTTAATGTTTGAATCTTGTAAGATTTTTTGCTGGCGTCTTACAGACAGAATTTGATGAAATCTTAGAAAAATGAGCACGTCAGGTATTGTCTGATCTTGTATGAAGATCATACGAAAAATCTTATAACGACCAGATCTAATATGGCCTTACCGATCCGACATCTGGATTTTAGACCTGGGACCTTGAACATCCTCGCAAGCCAAAGTAGGAATACTAACATCACTAACTCAGCTGATACAGATCTTAGTTTTTTATCCCTTCTAGTCTATTGTAGTCTAGTGGGTAGGATATTCGGATGAAAGAGAAAGCTAACAAGTACGGAACCTGTTTTTTCGTCCAAAATGACTTTTTCGGTTCAGTACTGCGCATCGTTTTTCTTTCAGTGTAGTCAATCTATTTCTCCCTTGAACATGAAAATTTGGAACTGAAAACTATATCATATACTCCTCACTAGTTTCAACATATCCTCAGAAGCTAAGCTGATTTGAACGTTCTTAACGCGGAAATCGGCTTCTGAGAGGGTCGGGGAGGGGCTTAAAGAAAGAACATGGTTAAAACAAGAACGTCTCATTACAAAGAATTTCAGCTGGGGCTCTCTACGTACCCATATATTTTGTGATTTTTCAACAAACTAAATTTTTTAGAAGATCTACACAGTATTTAGGTTTCTCGCAAGAATATATAATAATTCTGAAATCTCAGGAGTAACATTGAACTTACTTTTCTTTTATATTTCTAGCACAGCGACTTTAAAAGCTATTTATGCCCGAATGAAAATTGACTGATCGAATTTCCAGTTTAGTGCAAAGCTAAGTAATTCAAGGTCTCCTAATATGGAATCATCTATAATAGGTAAGACCTGTGGGAGTAACGCAAAATCTTTCGATATGTAGTATTGCAGAAACAACAAACGCTGCAGGTAACAGTGACAGGAGAAACGAAAGTCTGACAAGGGAACCACCCGAAGTAACGCCTCGCTTTTGAGCTCATATTTATGGGTCATGTAGAGAACCTCTAGACTAGAACAAATCCCAAAGGATTTGGGTCCATGGCTATTCTGTCACGAGATATTGAATTTTGAAGTTTCTAACGATATAACGATTTTAACCGTACACCACCACAATATATCAAAAATGAACGTAATAGAAGCTTAACTATTTTTCAATATATACAGGGTGTAACATAATTATAAGCCCCCCTATACTGAATGCAGAAAAAATAGTTTTCTATTTTACAAGTGAGCCTAGCTATTGATTTGATACGTTCATTCAACACATACATACACATGATATATTAAGATGTGATTACTGCCTTTTCTCTTCTTTTCGACATGTGCAAAAATGGTTAGAAAGAAAAACATGCTGTAACATAATTATAAGGCCCCTTTCATTGTTTGTATATCTTTTTCGTTCGGATTTGTTCGAAGTTAGTTTGTTTATTATGTATTGACCTTTGGTAAAGTGCATTTTATTCTGCAAGCAAGATAATGGGAAAAAAGGCTGTTAGTATTGATACAAAGAAGGGAATCATACTTTTACGCGATACTGGTATGTGCCAACATGAAATTTCAAGAAAATTAAATGTTTCTCGGACGTGCGTGCGTCAGACCATTCGTAAGTTCAATGAGCTTCATACGACAGCTGCAAAACCTGGTGCTGGACGTCCTTTCAAAATGACACGTCGTCAAAAGCGCGCCATTAAACTTCAACAACTTCGTGATGATACTCTTTCGTTGAATGATCTTGTTCGATATGCTCAAGCAAGTTTGAATTTAAATATCAGTCGTCAAACAGTAAGCCGCATCCTACG